CCACCCACCTAAGGCAATGCCACTGACTGAAGTCTTTTGGCCATTCCCAAAGGGGGGATATTAACATGTTCGTATGCACAGTAGAATTGTAAATGGGCTGATTTGTCAATGCTAAGTTCATACTGTGTCGGAACAACTTGGGGGTTACTGCTGCTTTTTCTTTCATCATCCTTACTATCGTCATTTTCCTCTACGTCTTTTGTATGTTTGTCACTCTCTTGTGACCCACTATTTCCGGGGGTGCCTTGATAGGCGAAGCAGACTTTGTGCTGTTGAGGCTAGAGAGGTGAGCAGAGTAAGCTTGATTCCCTGTAAGGACTTCTCTGTTGACACCCACCCCTTGGCGCTCATATGACCTTATGCAGTTTTTGCAGGCGCCGTGAAACCTTTCTAAAACAAAAAACAAACTTGTAATCTTCGACTTATATAACCTTTTTGTATTGCAAGTGCCGTAAAACTCTTACTATTGCTTAACTAACCTGGCTGCCTTCAATGTAGTCTATCTATCCATACCAAATGGGTGGTTGGCTGGTGCTCTAGTGTTGTTTGCTTCTTCTTTCCTATCAAACATCTATCGTCCGGATCTCTCCTTCTTCTTTTTTATATATTTGTTACTCTCTTGTAACAGCTCTAATCTTCGGCTCTTATATGACTTTATTATTGTGTTTCAAGTGCCGTAAAACTTTTACTAAAACTTTGTTTAAAAACACCTGTCCTCGTTGTTTTCTTTATGGGTTAGTCTCTCAAGGGATCATCTGTAAATCGTCGACACTTACATGACTTAATTGTATTGTGTTGACCTAAAACTCATACTAAAAATTAGGAAAATTTTGGTTGGCAGGTGCTCTGGTGTGGTTTGCTCCTTCTTTCCTATCAAACATCGGTCGTCCTTTTCTCCCCCTTTTTTTGTGTTTGTTACTCTCTTGTAACACCTCTTATCTTCGGCACTTACTTGAACTTATTGTGTTGCAAGTTATGTAAAACTCTGACTTTAAAGAAAGTAATCCCTTGTGCTGTTTAAAGCTAAGCAAAAAATTAATGTTTAACCATTTGGAATGTTCGGGGTTTTTTTCTAATTTTAACTTTTTTAAATGTTGTTATTGTAGGCAAGCTGTTAAGTCGTACTTAACCAAAGAAAAGCAAACTTATACGGGAGAGAGAGAGAGAGAGAGAGAGAGAGA